GTGTAGCCGTAGCATTCACTAGGTTGGTAGATAGTATGGGAGTGTTATTAGATCGCGGGAGAAACAGTATTACCCACCAGTTCGGGCGCAGCAGTGAGGGCGTGGCAAATCCACGGATGGGTTTACGGATTTCCCCAGATGAATTAGACCTGGTTGAGCCAATGATAAGACCGTAGGAACACCACTGCAGTCATGGGATCAATGAAGCGATGGACTGTATAAGGTCGTTTGTGGTACAAGGCTACCTTTTAGTCATGTAGCAATCACTTTTAGCCTTGGATTTGGTGATGTCATGACTCGACGTATGGACCCGATCAGTTAAATCAGAAGGTCGTTAGAGCCACAGTGGCAAGATAACTAGTGGCAACTATTGACAGACAAGGATTTCATTTAGAAGTAGTGTGGGGCGACTACGTGGGAGTCTTTTAGCTCCGCAATCGGGCCGAAACCCAGTATTTCAGATAACTGGCAAACGAATTGAGACCAGGGAGGTCTCGATGGATTTTAGGAAGGCAGCCATGTGGCAGCATGCTGTTTCGGGCAGTATTAGTGTTTTAGGATTTCATGTACGGATGGAGTAACTGATTGCTTGGGTTATGCTAAGCCACTCGCAGTGGGATTGAATAATCTCAGAGTAATAGATTTGACCTTGTTGTGCAGCTCTTGTCTGAGTCTAACCGTTGCAGGAATGAGTCTTCTACTCGAAGGATTATCTGAGCCTACTGTCAAGTATAAGGGATCTGTAGGGATTCAACAATAATGCTTCAGTATGGGTGGTCTGTCAGGGAGTCAGACCATCGCGATACTTCATACTTCAGATTGAGTAAACATGATCATGATGCAAGGAATTCGTTCATCTTCGGGTTTTAGAACCCTGTGAAGGTTGATTTCGGTCGCTTTATGAAGGTTGTGATATGCTCGGGATCGTGGTTGTGTTGCTCAAGGTTGTTCGGCATGTTGGGAATAGTAAGTAATGATTTCGAGGACGAAATATAATTTAAGTTGGGGAGAATTGTAACAGTCCGTTTTTAAAAATAAATAAATAAATAATGAACCTTAGAACCCGAGACGTATTTTTTTAAGTATTGTATTTTAGCCCTAAGTCGTACTAACTAACGGTGTGTACACATTGGGGTGTTAAAAGCCACATTTTTATTATTGAGGGATTAAATGGTAACTTCTGGGGCTTGTATTGTAATGAGTTATTAAAGATGGGGGTGGTTTGGTAACTTATGGATTTAAGTTGAAGAGGATTTGAGAAGGAGGGACTAAATATGAACATTTGGTGTAAGTTGTATAAATATGGGACATAACCCGTTACCCTCCTCATGGATACGTTTTAAGGCAACCACCAAACCCTAACCCTAGTTCTCTTTGCCAGCCCCCACTGTGGTAAAGTCATCCAGCCGCCGCCCCACCGTCGTGAAGCCCGGAAGCCGCCACTGCACTGCTGCCGACGAAGACAAACTGCCGAAGAACACGTCGCGGATGTTGCTGCTGTTGATTCTCGGTCGCACAACGTTTCCTTCCTCCGATTCACCTTCAGTCACGCCACCGGCATCGCCGGTCGATAACCTTGCAGTCGCTGGAACGTCCGTTGACGTCGCCGCTATTGCGGTGATGTTACAGTCCGTTCACTATCTCTCCGCCACCGCCCTCCTCCAGGAATGGAATACATGAGCTCGGTAAGTGTCTCCACCCATGTGTGTGTATACTTCAGTGTAGCATATCGGGTGTTGTTGGCCGGAACACTAGCGGACCACCATGGCAGCCAACCATGGTGGCTGCCGCCACTCCTACTTCTTTCTGCCGCCTTTTGCTGTATCTTGCCACCACCAGCTACCGTGGGAGGTGGATGTATGTGTATGGGTGTATATTCGAGTGTACCTGCTATTTTGGGTATTCATGAGGTTGTATGTGTAATGGTTTGGCCGGAAAACCCACCACCACCACCGTGAGGTGGTGGCTGCCACCGTTTTGCCGCCACTAGCCACCATCTCCGGTGGCTGCATGTTTATGGGTGTGTGAGGATTGGTGCTTGGGGTACTTTTGTCTTTATTTTGGCCTAGAATCATAACCACCACCACCGTGAGGTGGTGGCTGCCGCCGTGAGCCGTCGTCGATCACCACCGCCCGAGGTCGCAGTGGGTGGTGCTCGACATAGTGAAACCCTAATTGACCCAATAGCTTAATCTTGGACTGAGTTGGTTTGTGATTGGGTTGGAAACCCTAATTAGGGTTTAGCAAACCCTAATTTTGGAAATGTTAGTTTGGGATTTGCCGAGACCCGCGTTTGGACTGTTAGATTGGAAATTTGAATTATGCGCGACTACATTGTATGAATGGCCTAGTAGAGTGATGGACTTAATGGATTAAGTCCTTAATGGGTTAAGTAAGAACACTTAACCCTAATCGTCATTTTATGTGAAAACCTTAATTTTGGTTGAGCCTTGAGTTGGGCCTTTCTTTTGGGCTTTGGTGATTGGGTTATTGATGGGACATCTAAGAACAAGTATATGGACTAGAATATTTGGATTGGGATTTAGGGTAAGGCCCATGTGAGGGTTTGGGACCAATTTGGAAAATCGGGCCATAATTGGGCCTTGGTTGATTAATTGACTTTTGGGCCTTCAGAGTACGAGTTGGGCCTTGATCTTGGACCAAGCTATGTTAGGGGTAAAATGGTCCTTTTACCCCAAGTGTGTATTTATGGTGATGCATTGAAACCCAAGTGGTTAATTGGGTTTTATTTTGATGTTGACAGTTCAAGAATCTGTCAGCCAGCAGCCAGGGATCGTCTGCAGTGTTAGATTAGGTGTCTAAGCCCATAACTATATTTGGTATGTACTTGACCCGATAATAGCATGGTCCTTTTGGGTTGCCTTCACGAGAGTAACTTAAATGGATAATTAGTAGAGAGAGAGGATAATATGGTTTATTATTATATTATAAGAATAATATATTAAAAGAGAAATCATATTAGTTAAATTAATATTTGTCAATAATTAATTAAGAATTAATTTTGTGGTCAAAAGATATTAATTAAACATAGGGGACTGGAATTGCAATTATAAGATAATTGAATTATGGGCTGTGGATCTCATGGACTATAGGTTGGACGAAATTCGGGTGGAAGCCCACTTGAAATCGTCCAAGGCCTTGTTCTGGAAGGTTCTGTTGGACTGCTTAAGGCCTAAGCTATCCAATTAGGGTTTTGACTGAAACCCTAGCAACACACCTATTTAAAGGACCCTAGGGCACCTAAAATCGGATACCACTTGTTCCAAGAGTTCTAGAGTCGAATTTTAGAACCTCCACACTCTCTCTTCAAGATTATCCTTCTTGCCTTGGTGTTTGTAAGCCATAAGAGGTATTACATTTGTGATACTAAGCTCTTGAAGTTGAAGATTCTTGCTACTTGTGAAAGGTAATCATCTAAACTTATTTTAATTATTGATTTCGAATTTCATATGCTAGATCTAGGGTTTTACAGCTTTGGACGATTTGCATGGACAATAGAGAAACCTAGATCCAAAGCTTTAGGGTTTTGCCTGTGCACATAGGAATGTTCTTTTGTGTAAAACCCAAAAATGGTATCAGAGCCTTGACTGGTTTCAATTGTATTTGATGCTCATATGTTCGTCAATAGATTGAAAAGAAAATCGTTTCACTACAAGAAAAAGACCCATTTACGACGCGCAAACCACGACACTCATTGATTTATGTTACGCAAAAGAGAGTGACATTAAAAAAGTGTCGTCTCTTCAAAAAATTTAAGGATTTAGGTCACGCATTATTGCGTGTCCTTAAATTAGTGTCTAAACAAAAAAAACACGGAGGGCACCTATAATGAAATGTGCGTCGTCTAATGATGTCGCTTTATAAATTTGAATGGAACGCGCGTTCCATCCTTTAATAGCAGGGGGAAAATGAAATCCTAAAAAATTAAACACCCCGCCATATTTTTCTCCTTTCCCTGCCGCCTACTTCTTCCCTCTTGCCCTAACTATCGACGCTCTTTCCTTTCCCTATTGTCTCTCTCGGTCGCTACCTAGGGTTTTTATTGAAAGCTTGAATAGATCGACTGAGGTAACCAAAGGTCAAGCGAACCAGGAAAGGGTTTTCAGTGAAATCTATTGTTACTCTTTGAAATCGGATCCAATCCTACCTTCGCCCAATCCTTCTTGTCTCTATCGGTCGCGACCTAGTGTTTTTCGTGAAAGATTGAATCGATCGACTAGGGTAACCAAAGGGTAAGCGAACCAGGAAAGGGAAGCAATAAATCCAACACTCACTCTCAAATCGATTCTACTGGACAAGGTTTTAATTTGGGCTCTCTACATTCTCATCGATTCTACTTTCATTCTACTTTCATTCTCATCGATTATACTCTCATCGATTATACTCTCATCGATTCTACTTTCATTCAAGATCTGCAAAAAACTGGTCAATTCCTTCTATCTAAATCTCTCAATGTGTTTGAATCTGTATGTTTGAATCATGTCAGTTTCCCCCTTTGTTGTGCATTTCGAATAATCCCGTCAATACCCATTTCTATCAGTTTACTATCTACATTTTTACGTATGAGTATGTGTAAATGAATCATATGGGCAAGGTTTGATGGTGCTAGAACAGTGCGAATCCAATCAGCATGATGGTAATTCCAAGGGATTGGTTCTTCTTGCGATGTCGACCCTTTTGTATGAGAGGTAATTTTTTCCTTTCTTAATCCATACTCCTTTTCACAGTGGGAGTATTACTTCAATTATCTGAGTAGAAGCGTTTAAAATTAAGTCATCCATTTAATTTGTTGCTTCTTTCTATTCACAGAGGCAATTTTATTTAAGCTATTGAGAAATTGAATACCATTAAGGACCTAAAAGTTTCTTATTTCCCTCTTAGAGGTAATGCAAAGCAACACCGAATTCATTTCATGTATCCGAGTTTGATCAAGTGTCAAAAATTTACGAAGTTCATTTTTATTTCTATGATTTGGTTTAATGGCTACTATGGAAGCTCTTGCAGGACTTTATTTGGAATTAGGAGAAGTAAGAACTGTTTGTTTGTGTTTGTGCTTCAATCTTTTATCCAAATTCAAATACATAAACTCTCTATGTTCTTTGGGTACATAAATATTTGGCTATGGTTCCCTATATAGGATGATACTTCTTCAGTGATAGCAGATGTTTGCTTGAATGATTTAGATGCTAATAAACCGGAACTTGATGATGGATTTGGATCATTAAATGCTCGTGCAAGAGCATTAAAAGGGCTTACAGAGCTTGTTCAGGGCAACACAGATTCGTGTATGTCCTTGATTTCTGATAGTTGCATCTTCTTGTTTGTATGATAATCTAATGGAACATTTTATTTATGCAACCCAATCTTGTTTTACTGGAGCTGAAGATAACTTGGGAATTGGTAAACTCTTGCAACTCATGCCTCATTTCATATCAAGAACATTTTTATAAAAAAAAACAATAATGTTTGTGTAGGGAATGATGCTTTGTCATATGTTGAATTCTTGCATACAACACGAGATTTTGAAACTGCAAAAAAGTTGTATGAGAATGTAATCAAAGGGATACCAGAAAATAAAGATTATAGTGATCCATATAACTTGGCTGTTGGAAACATGGTATGGGAGGACATTCTTTTGGCAGCAACTTGTGCTTTAGGACAACTTGAGTCACACATGGGTTAATACATCATACATCATACATCATGCATCATACATCATACATCATACATGTATTTCAGACTTATTTCTTTCTCTTTTCCGCCATTAAGAGCCTGTTTCTTTTTGTCCCCTTGAAGTCAAAAAGTAACAATACCTTACCATAAACTGCTTCTTACTCTAAATCAAAACCTTTGGTTACATTATATGAGGTGTGTTTTGTGATTTAGGAAATTTGGTGATGCTGAAGAGATACTAACAAGGGCACTTACAGTGACTGAAGAACGTTTTGGTTAGTATACATCTGTTCATAATCTACATGTGATTTAAGGTCAAATACTTCTTGTGTGTATTTTGACTCTTATGCATTGCATATGTTGTAGGTTCTCATCATCCAAAGATTGGAATAATATTAACTTGCATAGCTCTCATGTTTAGGCACAAAGAAACAATGGAGCATTCTAGTTCCCTTATGGTCCAAGAGGTTAGAAATACTCAATAAAACACAGTTCATTAAACATTTTATACTCAATAAACTCAATAAAACTGGTCAGTTCTTTCTATCTAAATCTCTCAGTATATTTATTTTATAACTTTTCATCTCATAGCAGATGACACATCAAACTATATCTCGTTTCAGTTTTGATTTGTATTCGTTTCTTTGACTTAGTTTGACTGGGAAGGAGATCTGCCCCTATCATTTGCACAAAGAGATCTGGTAATTTATGAAATGCATGTTCGTGGATTTACAAGGCATGAGTCCAGTAAGACAGAGTCTCATGGTACTTACCTTGGTGTAGTGGACAAACTTGATCATTTAAAGGTACATGCTCAATAAATCCACAGTTCATTTTTTCACCATCATTGCTATAACTATAAGGTTATATGTGTTTGAATGATTTCTCACTTTTACAAATCACAGAGCTAAAGTGTTAATTATTTAACCTTAAGTAAACTTGTAATAACATTCATAAACTATCTTGTTGTCCCTTTAGTGAGGATCAATCACTGGAGAAATGGTATCTACTTTCATCATAAGCAGATGCTTAATTGTTGCAATCAACAGCCCGAATCATCACATACTGAGAAGGGAATAGAAAATGACCTCCTATTAGCTCTTGTTATTTTATGCATTCAATATGTTCTTGCTATATATAAACATTAAATCTTTGTTGTTTTTTTCAAGTTTTTTGCAGATATACAAGTATCGCATTCTTCATTTCAATTGTTAGTTGTACTACTAATGATGGAAGCTGCTAATAAAAGAAATGGAACAAGCCGCATGAAATAGATTTTTTGTATGAAACACATAGTAGATTAGATGAATGCAAATTTATATATTGTAAGAAATAGAATTGTATGACATTAAATTTTATGCAATGGATTGTATTTTTTGTATATGGTATTTTATTTCTATTATGAGACAATAACTGAAAATTTAATTTAAAAATTAATAAATATATAAATATATATATTTTTAAACATTTAAATTTACGATACGCAAAAATGTGTGTCATCTTTATTTATGACATGACCTTTCTTGACAGGGGTTTTAATGATACGCATTGCGTGTCATAAATGCGCGTCGTCTATAGACGACGCGCAAAAGCGTGTCGTCTCTCGTTATGACAGGGCCTTCCTTGACACGCATTTGCGCGTCGTCTGCGCGTTTTACGACATGCATTGCGCGTCGTAAAAGGCTGTTTTTCTAGTAGTGTTTTTGAAAAAACACCCAACTCACGACGTGACTCACTGAGTTCACGACGTGAGTCCAGTCTGTCTGATAGACTCGACGGGTCCAGAAGGCTACTCGACGAGTCAGTGGATCAGATGGCTCAAAACTCGGATTTTTGACTTATTTTGTGTTTGGATAATTACCAAAATTGTTTTTGAATAATAAAATCCGATTTTTATATATATGGTGATTATCCTTACCAAAATAAAAGAGAATTATCATTTATAATTATTGCCTTATGTGATAAACCTTAATTATTTGAATTATTTGATTGAATTATCTTGTATGAAATTGAATTAGGTCAAATCTAGATAATCACTATTTAATTGTTTAATTAAATTATTTGTAATTTGATCTAGAAAGTTTTGAAAAGTTTCAAAAACTTGCCCTCAAGTTTTGGAATTTAAATTTTTTGATTAAAAATTTAATTTTGAAATATTTAAATTCGAAACCCTAGAATTTTACAAGTTTAAAATTCAACCCTTATACTATTATAGTATTACAAGATTAATAATATATATATATATATATATATATATATATATATATATATATATATATATATATATATATATGTATAAGATTAAGCTAGTCTTACCGTTAGTAGGCCTCATTCACGAAGCCGATCTATAAGGGGGGTATAAGGAAATTGCCTATAAAATGACGATTGAATGAGTGTTCACTCTCACCCACCGCTTCCTTGATTGGTGGAGGGTCGTTAGCCGAACAGGTAGGAATAGACAACTAATTCCTCATTATAAGTATAATGAATATATAAAGTAACTAAATGTTTTTATAAAATTCCCAATCTTAGTTACTTTAGGAAAAATGTGAAAATGATGTTATTCCATGAAATTACACTTTTGTATCCTTGCCAAGACGTTAGTGGAGCGTGTGTGGTTAACCGGCACACTAGTTTGGGTCTAGCAAAGGTGGCAAAGGGTGACTCAATGTTTGTCATAGATCAATGGAGTGTGTGTGTCTAACCGACACATTGATTAGGTGACTGTAACATTGAGGGCACCAAGTACATTTGCATGGTTATTCACACCTTGTTTGTGATCCTCGGTATCCCAATCACAAACTTGAATGGCATATCGAGATTTAAACATGCCATTGAAAAGTTCAATGGATCTCAAAAGATCTAGGAGTTTCAATACATTTAAAACTTAATCTTTGTTTTTGTTTTTCATGGTGGAAATTAGTGAATCGTTATTCACTTACCTTCAAATTATTTGTGATTTAGATTATGGCATCCCTCTTCTAAATTGTGAATAATGTTGTTGGGTCCTAGCCCTAATTTCTCATTTGGGTGTTTAATTGGGAATTCTTATCTAATCAAACTTTGTCTCTTTTCTTTTTCAGATGTCTACTCCAAACAACAACAACGCTTCGGGGATTAATGCTTCTGGCTCCTTCTCTCTCATGAACCTTTGTGGGAGAGTGATCTTCAATGGCACCAATTTCAATGACTGGATTCATAACATACGAATGGTGACCAGATACGAGGACAAAGAATATGTCCTTGACAAGGAGCTCAAGGAGATTAACCCCAATACTGCTACTCCTGAAGAGATCGCTGCGTATGATGCCCATGAAAGGGACGCTACTAAGGTCCATTGCATCATGCTTGCGACTATGACTGTCGAACTCCATAAGTCTTATGAGGACTACTATCCCTATGAGATGCACCAGGACTTGATGGAGAGGTACCATCAAAGTGTCATGCAATAAAGGTATGAGATCATCGTCTCGATGATCACTACCAAGATGAAGGATGGAGAGTCCATCACGGCCCACCTGCAAAAGATGCAGAGGTATGTGGACCGCTTGCTGAAGTTGAATGTTAACTTCGACGAGGAGCTGGTAATTGACATCATTCTCCACTCCTTACCTCCTTGCTACAACTAGTTTCGTATGACTTATCATATGAATAAGGAGGAGGTTACACTAAGAAAGCTTCAAGGTCTCTTGCGAACTGCTGAGAGCAATCTCAAAGACAAACATGTTGCATCAACTCCTACTGCTGCTGCCCCTGTCCTGGCTATTGGGCAAGGCAAAGGAAAGAAGAGGAAGGCTCCTCACAAGAGCTTCAAGGGCAAGCCCCATGGTGGATCCTATTCTAGTGGGACCAAAGTTGGTTCTACTACTCCCTTTGCCAACCCTAAAGAAGCAGATTGCTACTACTGCCACAAGAAAGGGCATTGGAAGTGGAGCTGCCCGAAATATCTACAGGATATCAAGGATGGGAAGATCAAACCACCTTCGTAGGTATTTATACTATTCAATCTAACAACTCATCACATGCTATTTCTTGGGTTCTTGATATAGGATGTGGTTTTCACATTTGTTCTGACTTGCAGGGCCTAAAAAGAAGTATGGATGTGGAGCATGGGAAGATGAACCTGATCATGGGGAACAGAAGAGTGTCGCATGTAACCAAGATTGGAGTTTACTCTTTAATTCTTAGTAGCGGGTTAGGATTATATTTGGATAACTGTTGCTACTCGTTTGAGATGGCGAGAAACATTATTTCTTTTCATGGTTTATATAGACAAGGATTTAGATTTTCATTCAATAATGAAATTGGTTCTAATGCTGATTTGAATGATGTTTTCTATTTTGAAGCATTGCCTTGTAATGGAATATATGAAACTGTGATGATTGTTGATAATTTAGGAAATAATGTATTGCAAATCGATTCGTCCAATGGTTTGGACAAAGCATGCTTGTGGCATTGTCGTCTTGGACATGTCAACAAGAAGCGCATAGGCCAACTCCAAATGGATGGGGTGTTGGAGTCGTTTGATCTAAAATCAAACGACACTTGCGAGTCTTGTTTACTTGGAAAGATGACCAAGTCACCCTTCACTGGTACTTGTGAAAGGGGTGAGGGTTTGTTGGATCTCATACATACTGATGTATATTGGCCTTTCAGATCCACCACAAGGGATACTTGTCGCTTCTATGTGACTTTTACTGATGATTATAGTAGGTATGGGTATATCTACTTAATCAAGCATAAGTCAGAAACCTTTGAAAAGTTCAAAGAGTTTAAACATGAAGTGGAGAATCAGCTGGGTAGAAAGACAAATATGCTACGATCCGATCGGGGAGGAGAGTACCTTAGTATCGAGTTTCATGAGTATCTAAAGGAATGTGGAATAGTTTCATAATTGACGCCACCTAGGACACCACAACTTAGTGGTGTGGCTGAGAGGTGCAATCGGACCTTGTTGGACATGGTTCGTTCCATGATGAGTCGTGCTTCGCTACCTATCTCATTCTGGGGGTATGCCTTAGAGACTGTCGCCCATATCCTTAACCTAGTCCCTACTAAGAAGGTTGCCAAAACACCTTACGAGATGTGGACATGGAAAGCTCCCTCGTTGGCACATATCAAGGTTTGGGGTTGCGAGACTATCGTAAGACGAGAGACTCACGACAAGCTCGAACCTCGTAGTGAGCGGTGTATTTTCATCGGTTACCCACAGAAGTCTTTTGGATATCTCTTCTATAGACCGAGTGACAATGTTGTCTTCGTTGCGAGGAGAGGAGTCTTTCGCGAGAGAGAGCTCATATGCCAAGAGGACAGTGGGAGGCAATTTGATCTTGAAGAGCTTCAAGAATCAAGTGATGAAGGAACCTCCAACACTAGCGATCAACCTGAGGAGGAAACTCCTGTTGAACCAGTTGACGAGTCCTTACCTCTTAGATGTTCCAGTAGATTTAGTCATCCTCCCGAGTTTTATGGATTCCATATTACTATTGAGGGGGATACGTTTATTAGTGATAGTACACTAGTAAATTTGGACGAGCCTAACAGCTACAAGGAAGCCATGGCAGGCCCGGAGTCTGCAAAATGGAAAGAGGCAATGAACAGCGAGATTCAGTCCATGTATGACAATCAAGTTTGGAACTTGGTTGACAATGTACCAGGTCGTAAGACGGTCGGGTGCAAGTGGATATTCAAGAAGAAGACAGACATGGATGGGAAAGTGCACACTTACAAGGCGCGATTGGTTGCGAAGGTCTTTACTCAAACTCCTGGAATTGACTATGATGAGACCTTCTCACCATTTGCGAAGATGAAGTCTATTAGGGTGATGCTAGCCATAGTTGTGTTTCATAACTATGAAATATGGCAGATGGATGTCAAAACCGCTTTCCTTAATGGGAAGTTGGCTGAGGATGTTTACATGAGTTAGCCAGAGGGTTTTGTCAGTGCGAAGCATCCTAATAGAGTGTGCAAGCTTGAGAAATCCATTTATGGATTGAAACAAGCATCTCGCAGATGGAATCTTTGTTTCGATGAGAAAGTCAAAGAGTTTGGCTTTGCGAGGAGCGAGGATGAATCCTACGTATATGTCAAAGCTAGTAGGAGTATAGTTAGTTTTCTCGTACTGTATGTGGACGACATACTACTCATAGGAAACGATGTCCCAACCTTGCAGGAAGTTAAGTCCTGGCTTGGGAAGTGCTTCGCTATGAAGGACCTCGGAGAAGCTGCCTATATCCTGGGGATAAGGATAATGAGAAATAGGATTAAGAGACTAATAAGACTTAGTAAAAGTACTTACTTGGATAAAGTGCTGGAACGATTCTGCATGGAGAATTCCAAGAAGGGGGGGTTACCAATCCAAAGCAATACCAAACTGAGTAAGACTCATAGCCAGAGTACAGAGGCTGAGATAGCAGAGATGAGCCGAGTTCCTTACGCTTCCGCAGTCTGCTCAATCATGTATGTTATGACTTGTACTCGCCCTGATGTGGCCTTCGCTTTGAGCATGGTCAACAGATATCAAGGGAACCCTGGTAGAGCCCATTGGACCGCAGTCAAGAATATTCTTAAGTACCTACAAAGGACCAAGGAATGGTTCCTAGTCCTCAGTGGGAGTGACGACTTGAGAGTATGAGGGTACAATGACGCCAGTTTTCAGACAGACAGAGATAACTACCGATCTCAGTCAGGCTGGGTCTTTACTCTAAATGGAGGAGCAGTGACTTGGAAAAGTTCCAAGTAGGAAACTGTGGCTGATTCAACGCGCGAATCAGAGTACATAGCAGCGAGTGGAGCGTCAAAGGAGGCAATATGGCTAAAGAACTTCAGCGGAGACCTTGGAGTTGTACCTGCCATAAATGAGCCTATGGAGATTTTCTGCGATAGCGAAGGTGTGGTTGCCTTGACCAAGGAACCGAGGGATCATGGCAGATCCAGGCATATCGATAGGAAATATCATTTTATTAGACATCACGTAGAAGAGGGACTCCTCGTTGTGAATAGGGTATCGTCGGAGGATAATCCAGCAGATCCCCTTACGAAGGGACCAAGTAGGGTTAAGCACTTGCAGCACGCTAGGAGCATTGGGATGAAGGACGATATTAGTTTTTGTGATTAGATAGATTTAGAAACTTGTAATAGATAAATTGTAATTAACATTTGATGATTAAATAAAAGGTGTATTTATTTATAAGTAAAGTTATTGTCTTATGTTAATTATAACTATTGTTTCACTTTGCATGTTTTGACTTCCTGAATAATAAGATTATTTGAACCATCCACAATCGATCATACATCGGAAGTAGGTATGAAAGAAGACTGTCATGAATTGGCTTGTAGACTGTCTAAGGTGGTTTAGGCATAGCAAAAGTTTGTTGCAACGTTCATGAGTTCTTATGAAATAAGATTTGAGTATTGGATTAAACCCGCGCTTACCTGAATCACTTCATGGAATTAATCATGAGTGGTTGTAAGACGATAATATCATATAGTTTTTAAACCTAGAGATATGATTTTTTGTTTTCAAGTTGGTTGTGCATTGATAATGCGTAAACGCATCAGTAACTTGATTTTATAAAACGTATTGTTGTGTACGATTTGATGAGCAAATAGTACAAGCATATGAGTCGAAGTTTATCTGTTCCTTTTGTCTCACAAGGACAAAAGCGATATATTGGGCCCCTCGATGATTTGGTTTGACTTTTGTGTCGGGCTCGGTCAGGACTAAATTGATGTGCTCAGTTAAGTTCTATGTCGAACAAATCAGAGATCGAGAAACAAACTGCTGGACAATAAGTATAACTATGTTCCATGTGATTGTCCTCACGATATCTTGAGAACGGAGGACTATACGATCCCTTATCTAAAGGATATGTCATTTGACTGGGTCAGAGTTGAAAGAGGGTTTTTGAGAGCTACGATTGCTAATCGGATCCTGAAGTCATACTTGCAATTATAGTTATTAGACTTATCCAAGTGGGAGATTGTTGGATTAAGTGTCTAAGCCTATAACTATATTTGGTATGTACTTGACCCGATAGTAGCATGGTCCTTTTGGGTTGCCTTCACTAGAGCAAATTGAATGGATATTTAGTGGAAAGAGAGGATAATATGGTTTATTATTATATTATAAGAATAATATATTAAAAGAGAATTAATATTGGTCAAGAATTTATTAAGAATTAATTGTGGTCAAAAGATATTAATTAAACCTAGGGGACTGGAATTGCAATTATAAGATAATTGAATTATGGGCTGCAGGTCTCATGGACTATATGTTGGACGAAATTAGGGTAGAAGCCCACTTGAAATCGTCCAAGGCCTTGTTCTGGAAGGTTCTGTTGGACTGCTTAAGGCCTAAGCTATCCAATTAGGGTTTTGACTGAAACCCTAGCTGCACACCTATTTAAAGGAATCTAGGGAACCTAAAATCGGCTACCACTTGTTCCAAGAGTTCTAGAGCCGAATTTTAGAACCTCCACTCTCTCTCTCTTCAAGATTATCCTTCTTGCCTTGGTGTTTGTAAGCCATAAGATGTATTACATTTGTGATACTAAGCTCTTGAAGTTGAAGATTCTTGCTACTTGTGAAAGGTAATCATCTAAACATGTTTTAATTATTGATTTTGAATTTCATATGCTAGATCTAGGGTTTTACAGCTTTGGATGATTTGCATGTACAATAGAGAAACCTAGATCCAAAGCTTTAGGGTTTTGCATGTGCACATAGGAATGTTCTTTTGTATAAAACCCAACATGCAGTGCGAGGTGAGTTTCCTCCTCGACTGAACGGGTCTAAGGCACCAATGCCGACCCATGTAGTTTATATGTTCTTGATAGGAACACAGAGTGTGGGTGGGGCCCATATCTTATTATTACCTGAGTATAGATATCAGTCAGATTGTTGGATTGCTATACTTGTTGTCTGTGTGATACATGTATGTGTTGTTAGGAATGTGAGTGTGGGCGGGGCCCATATCTCATAGAGTGCGGCCGAGGCCTGTATCTCATAGTAGCCGAGTGTGGGCGGGGCCCGTATCTCATTGAGTGTGGGCGGGGTCCGTATCTCCTAGTTGCATGATATGTGTATGGTATGTGGTAGTTTGGGGAGACTCACTAAGCTTCGTGCTTATAGTTTTCAGTATTGGTTTTAGGTACTTCCGGTAGCAAAAGGAAGAGCTCGGATGTATTGATATGAGTTTTGATGAGATACTTTGATTGATACTTTGACTTATGTTTTTGGAAGAAATGGGTTTGATAATTATGGTTATTTTAATAATTAAAAATGAAAATTTTGGACCGTATTTTTGGGATGTTTCATTTCGTAACACCTTCTTTATTAATGGATGTTGCACAGAAACTATTTGATCAAATGCCACATAAAGACGAGTTATCATGGACTACAATAATCACAGGGTATATAAGAAATGACGATTTACACGGTGCAAGCCAAGTCTTTGATGGTATGAACAATGAAAAGCAAGTAGTGACATGGAATGCAATGATTTCCGGATACATGCATAAAAGGTTTGTTTCCGAATCATTAGAAATGTCAAAAAAGATGAATCTTTTAGGAATCAAGTTTGATGCATTCACTTATACAAGTATCCTTAGTGCTTGTGTCAATGCTAAATTGTTTCTCCATGGAAAACAAATACATGCATACATGATCAGAACTGTAATAAACCCTTTCACCACTTTCTATATAGTGTTAACAACACATTGATTACATTATACTGGAAATGTGGTAAAACAGATGATGCAAGAAAGATTTTCGATAGGATGTCAATAAGAGATCTTATTTCATGGAACAACATTCTATCTGCTTACGTTGATGTAGGCGGAATCGAAGAAGCCCGATTGGTATTTACCAAAATGCCCGAAAAGAACCACATGACATGGAGTGTGATGATATAAGGATTTGCCCAAAACGGATCAGGAGAAAAGGGTTTGAAGCTTTTAAACCAAATGAAATCAACCGAATGTCAACCATGTGATTATTCATTAGCAGGTGTGATTAAGTCATGTGCAGCTATCGCGTCACTAAACCATGGACGCCAACTTCATGCTCAACTTATTCAATCAGGGTTTGAATCGAGCCTTTCCGCTTCCAATTCTTTAATCACAATGTACGCATGTTGTGGGGTCCTTCAAGATTCACAGTATGTATTCCTTACAATGCCATGTTTAGATTCAGTGTCTTGGAACACAATGATTGCAGCTTTGAGGCAGCACGGGCATGGTGCTCGGGCAGTTGAGCTTTTCGAAGAAATGCTAAAAGAGGACATAGTTCCTGATCGAATAAAATTCCTTACGATTATTTATGCTTGTAGCCACTCGGGTTTTGTTGACCAATGTCAACGGTATTTCAACTCGATGAAAGATTCATACGGTATAACCCCGGGTGAAGATCATTACGGTCGTTTGATCGATTTGTTATGTAGATCTAGGAAATTCACCGAAGCAAAAAACATGATCGAAAAATTACCATTCTACCCTGGTGCACCGGTTTGGGAAGCACTACTTGGTGGGTGTAGAATCCATGGAAATATGGAGTTAGGGGTCAAGGCTGCAAAAGACTTTTTGAATTAATCCCGGATCATGATGGGACCTACATACTTTTATCAAACATGTACTCCAACTCGGGAAAATGGAACGATGCTGCACGGGTTCGGAATTTGATGAGATCTCGAGGAGTGAAGAAAGAGCCTGCGTGTAGTTGGATTGAAGTTGACAATATGGTCCATGTATTTTTGGTGGATGATACTAAGCACCCTGAGGTTCAGAAGGTGTATGAGTATCTTGAGGAATTGGTTTCTAAAATGAGGAAATTAGGGTATGTTCCGGATACGAAGTTTGTGTTGCATGATATGGAGAATGAGCAAAAGGAATATGTGTTGTCTACTCATAGTGAAAAGCTTGCGGTTGTTTTTGGGATTTTGAAGCTTCCTTCGGGAGCCATGATTAGGGTTTTCTAGAACTTGAGGATTTGTGGGGATTTTCATAATGCATTTGAGTTCATGTCGCAAGTTGTGGAGAGAGAAATTGTTGTGAGAGATGGGAAGAGGTTTCATCATTTCAGGATTGGGAAATATTCTTGTGGCAATTACTGGTGAGAAGGAAGCAATGACACATTGTTGTTATTGTTTGACAAGCCATGATTATACTTGCGAAATTGGAATTTAGAAAAATCAGAAGTTGATAGAATGCAACTTTTTTTAGATAAGTTATGTTGTTTACTTGTTTTTGCCATTTTAATCATTTTTTTATATACGGATCTCAGGAATTTGAGTTTTTTTTTTGTGGATTTATCTTCATGATTACAAGTCTTGAACAAGAATATTGTGTTTGTTTTTTCTTGTAGATTAGAAGAGGGTGCTGCGTGCGAACTAGTATGTAAATTTTTTCTAGAAATTTTAAGTGAATGAGAAATTACTTTGAAAATACAATTTCAACAAGAGGAGGCTGACATACTTTTAACATTTAGATTTATATAAACAATTGAAATCTACTTTAGAAATATGTCAAGCGTTAATTATGATTAGTATAGCTACTGATTTGATCTTATTTATGGAATAACCAGTATCATTATTATTCTTCTCGTTTCTACTGTTACAAAAGAGAGTCCATTTTTTATAAATGAGGAGGATTGGAGAAAGAAGTGAACATTCCTTGAGACATTTATCCATGAAAAATTAATGATATTGAATTACCTATTTAAGTACAAAAATTAGAAGCATACACAAGGAAAAAGATAACAACATACTTTAACTTATTTGTGAAATATAGCAATGTACTTTAATTTTCTTTTACAAGCATTACAGTTCCATTTTTTCTTCTTATTAGAACATTATATTTTTAACAATTTACCAAACTAGAGAAGTGAAAATATTTTGTATTTGGATAACATTACTATAACTGGGTAGATTTTTCAAAGCACAATAAACAAATCAACAGAAGTACATTGCTATTTCTTGAATTTTAACCCAAGAGTTGAGAGGAATCAAAATCAACATATACCTCATCTATGCTCTTTGCATTTTCAAGTTTATTATGCATAGCATGCCAATTTGGTTCAAGAATCTACAACAAGATAAAAGAATATGTTATTCAATCATAATAATATAATATCACTTCTACCTTTGTTGGTTGACAAAATAATTAAAGAGAGATAAATAAGCACATTAACATCGGAGTAATGAATAAATAGGAAAAAGAGATATATTTATATTTATTCACCCATAATAACAACATACTTATAGCATGAACTTACACAATATACTTTATTTTTTACATAACACACTTCCCATTTTACTGATAATAATAGCAATAACATAAAATTTGTACGCGTCTTACATACAATTACAGGTTATATTGTTATTGTTGGTAAGGAAATGTAAATACATTGTTATTTATAAACTTAAGAACATGGTTATTTTTACCTCAAATGTTAGATAGTGTAAAAGGCTATTTATAAATTTAAGCATATTCATGCATAGTATTGATGATGAAGAGATTGCAGTTCCATGCATATCACGTGCACGTGCACCCTAAAAAAACAAAAAGTATAACTACAAAAATTGAATTACCAAACTAGAGAAGTGAAAATTACTTTGTATTTGGATAACATTACTATAATTGGGTAGATTTTTCAAAGCACAATAAATAAATCAACAGAAGTACATTGCTATTTCTTGCATTTTAACCTACGAGTTGAGAGGAATCAAAATCAACATATACCTCATCTATGCTCTTTGCATTTTCAAGTTTATTATGCATAGCATGCCAATTTGGTTCAATGTAATATCCCAAAATTCATAGCCAATAATTTTATTTTTAAATAAGTATAAAACCAGTAGTCTGAAATATCCATAGTGTTAACTCATTTCATAATAAAAAACGAGTATTTCAAATAACTAAAACATGTCATATGAAAGTATTATCAGAGTACAACTCCCAAAGATCTCATAATGCGGAAATCATAGTGTGATGCGCTGCGATCCTGTCGACTCCTTTCCTTTTTAAAAAGAAGTACCTGAAACCAAAACTGAAAACCGTAAGCTCGAAGCTTAGTGAGTTCCCCCATCATACCACATAATCACATACTGCCAGGCATATCTAGGTGCCCGGCCTACCCTGTCAGGCATATCTGGGCGCCCGACCTACCCTGCTGAGCATACCTGGGTGCTCAACCTACCCATGTTAGGAATACCGGGGTGCCCAACCTACCCTTTTCAGACATACCGGGGCGTCCGACCTACGCCTGTCAGGCATATCTGGGTGCCCGACCTACCCTCCGGTTTATCTCAACCGGTTTACGGGGACTATTTCACCCCTACCACCACCACATAATATCATATCGTAAACATACTGTCAGGCATATCTAGGTGCCCGACCTACCCACCGATTTATCACAACCGGTTACGGGGTCTAACCACCCCTACCACTATCACATATAACATAACATATAACATATAAATCTCATCAGATAGTGACAACGAACAATTATCACAAAGACAATCATCTCTACTCTATACTCCTACTAGTGGGCCGGCATTGGTGCCTTAGACCCACTCTTATAGGAAGGTAACTCACCTCATGCTGATGAACTCCACTGCAAGAAATCCTTAACTGTTGTCCTGGCAACTCCTCGAGCTAACAATACCAAAATATCATCCAATTAGTAATTGGGTTGTATACTATGATCCATAATCCATACTTGGGGTAAAATGACAATTTTACCCCTGGCCCACAAGGTACTTAACTAAGGACCAAGTCCAAAACCAATCAAGTCCAAAACTCCAAAATCCATAAAGGCCCACTAATGGCCCAATTTCCAAATTGGGCCCAAACCCTTACATGGGCCTTTCCCGAAAGCCCATTTACTTTTTCTGAATCATTATACATGTCCATAGTTAGCCCAACGAAATCCATGTACTTACAAGCCCATAAGAGAGCCCGAATCTGAAATGGCCCACAAGGCCCAATAAGGCCCAAATCCATCTTGGGCCTAACCCAAGAAAGCCCAATCTCCAAAAAGGCCTGAAATACTAAATGGGCTACCCTAACCAACTCTTGGTCCATGGTCCAAGGCCCAAAAAGGTCAACAAGACAAAGTGAGTCAACCAGGCCGAGTACGTCCTGCGTACTCAGATGGTACGGCCAGCGTACACCACTTTGGGCCAGTACGCGCAACGTACCAGACGTACGTCCAACGTACTCCTCTGAAGTCCAACCCTCTCCAAATAAGCACCTAATCACTTCAGCCGTTGCTCCAACTCTCCAGTCTGACTTCTATAGGTGACTTTTCAAGTAAAGTTGGCAACTTTACTAACATGCATGGCTTAGTGGGACTCTAGAGCTCAAAAAAGCTTAATGGATGGTCTTAACTCATGTTTGGAGTCAAACACTTCACAAAGCTTGCACCTTTATGAGAGATGGGACCTTAGAATGTCCAGATCTACAAGTTTGAGTCCCTAAAACAACCCTAGCTCACCAAGACCAAGAAAAAGGCTAAAATGGCCAAAAACCAACCCAAAAGAGGATCTATGAAATGGAAAGTCAAGATCAGATCTTTTTACCTCCAATGGATTGCAAAAGATGAGAACTTTCTGGATCTACAAGCTTCCTCCAGGAAATGAGCCATCAACTTTCTTCTTCTCTTACACAAACCACCATGAACACTCTTCTCCAAGCTCCAAAAGCTCACTCAAGGCACTCTAGGGTTTCTATGATGCTAAAATGGGTGGAGGCTGATCTGAAATGACCCAAGGAAGGATATAATGTTGCTTATATAGGCCACAAGTCGAGATATTAGGGTTTTGGTCTGAAGGGAGTACGCCCCGCGTACCCCTTTGTACGCCCGACGTACTCAATGACCACCCGCGATCATCCTCCTTCATACGCTGGGCGTACCCAGCTGAACACGTGCACGCATCCTTGCATGCATGGGGCTGATCTGCCAAGTATTTCCATTAGGGGCTAATTTTGCCAAAACCTTCAAAGTACGATAACTTCCTCATTCTAAGTCCGTTTCCGACGAACTTTATATCCACGGAAAGGTGATGAGAAGCCATACGCTTCTAGCAACTCACCCTTGCCCAAAAACTTTCGGAACAATAACCCAAAATCCATAAAAGGTCAAAATCTCAAATTACGGTTATACCCTTGGCCTCCGAGGACACAATCGCACACTTGGATCACTTAAACCATGGCAACTACATCCAAAATGGGCTAAATCCTTCCTTTACCGAAGCCCTAAACCCTATGGCAACCGATGATTGGGCCGCAACCCCGAGTAACGAAGCACTTTCAAAACCAGGTGTTACAACTCTCCCCCACTTAAATTAGATTTCGTCCTCGAAATCTCTCCTTACTAACACCCATATTCCAACGAATGATATGAGGAACGCAAACGATGATTCTATGTGTATAACAATCTTCTCAAGACAACAGAAACCCCAAACCGAAACTTCTATCCTGAGAATACACCCAACCATTCAACCCTTGCAAGCCACTTCTACCTTCTGGGGCGTGACATCTATAATAACCCGACTTCCCGACAGCTCGCCTGTGCTGAAACAACCAATACCTTCTCTTAACTAATAGCAAACTAGTCATAACCCTTCCAACTCTGATCATACAATGAATCCTTGGAGTAATTCTTCAAACCTGGTGAAGAACGAATTCTCAATCTCTCAAATAACACCAACCCTACTTCACCTGAAATTCGAAGTCGAAGTCTCAATGGCCTGACTCCGTTTCAGATCTGCCACCAAACCATCCTCATAGAGTCTCGCACCACACAAATTGCTTCTGGTCCGTGCTCGCCCTGCTATCTCGAACGGAGCAAAATTAGCGACCATAAGCCACTACAGAACACTTATACTCGACAGAAGGATCAGATAATCCTTCGAGTAACAGATTCATCCCTACAACGGTTAGACTTCGACGAGAGCTGCGCAACAGGGTCAAATCA